ATATATATATATATATATATTAAAAACATGATGTTAATGTAATAAGTTAATTACATTTCTATATCGTTTTAATATGAGACATTTATATTTGTATCATTTCTTTAGCAAATCAAAAGAAAGATAGAAGATGTATCAAAGAAATTGGAAGTGTTGTACGATTGTCTTAGAGAGAATAAGGTCAGTTGTAATATTATTAGTTGTAATATTATCATATGCATTTTAAACAAAAATTGTGTCTTCTTTTCAGTTATCTCAGAATACTTTGCAAGTTTTGCATCAAATATCACAGATGATTCAAAATGGCAATTATACAGGCGGATTGGACTTACATACGCAATTAGTATCAGGACCAGATTTTAGTCAAATAGCTTCCTTTATGCCTGGAATTAAAGTATTACTTCTAAGTGCCCTTCAATTGAGCGTTTATATTAGATAGAATGCTCAAAAATTATACACACAAATTGTTTATATACATTCATTATGAATTTTTATAATTCTAGAAAGCCTTAATGAAAGAATTATTTCTGTTATATTAATTCTGAATAACATTTGATACTAGGTAATCAACAATATAGAGTATCCATATAATTATGCATTATTTGCCATTCAAATTTTATATAACCTGCTTTGAAAATTATATTTTATCAGTTATCAAAATGATTTTATATTATATTGCGAATTATTAATCTTATTGTTAAAGATATATGTAAGAAAATAGCAAGATATTTACAGAAGACGTCCATATGAGATTTAAAAGCAAGATGTTAAAAAAATCTTGTTTTATATAATATGTATATATAATTATGGTATTAAAATCGATTATATGAAGAAATTGAGCACTTGTTTTTATAATTTTCAAAATTTTAATTTTTATTTTGTGCTCAAGGCATGTTTAATAAAATGGATTGTAAAATGGATTTTTGCTATAAATAAAAATGACGGTCTTTTAATATTGTATAGATTTGTATATTAAATTCTATAAAATCTTTATAAATAATTTACAAAATATCGTAATTGTTATTGCTAAATAAAACTCAGAAACAATTAAGTTATGAGTGTATCAGTAATTGTTTCAAAAAACTTGATATAAAAATATTGTATAAATTATATAACCATATATGTTGAGATTTGAAATTAATTCATTGAATGATTAAGCTATGCAAAATAGCGCCCTTTTCAGAGACAATAAATTTTTGTAACAATTCGTCTAAAGGATCAATGCCATCCCGCGCGGCTTGTCGACGCATTGCTTGCTTTAATTCTTCACGTACCCCTTTATCAGCGCCACGGGTAGCAATACGACGATCTATAATTAGTTTATAATTTTGTTATTTCTGTAAAATGATATATACATATTAAAGGTTATTATATATATATATGTATATATACTTTGTATAATTCCCGCGCTTGTAGTTATGTCCAATGATACTCCTCCGCCATGTTCGGTCCATAAATATGTTAATTCTTCTAAAATGTCTACACATATTACATATGCTTGGAATAATGGATAAGTAAAACTTCCACGATTGAGAATTCGTTCTGTTATTGTAGTCAAAGTACTAGCTTCTTGTGGCCAATCTATCTGCATGAGAACCAATGCATGTCCAATAGCCAGATCTCCAATATTTCCGGGTAAAGAAAAATTATCCTAAAATCGAATTATCATGTACTAACAACATTAAAGGATTACGGAAAAAAGATTGTTACCTTTATAGCTAAAAGAAGTAATCTGCAACAGTATTGTAAAATAGGGAAACGGGCAAGAGTTAAATAATGTAAATGCCTCATGCTTGGGACTGTCAGATTGTGAGATACTTTGCCCGATGCAGCAGGTAATGAATTCGCTACCAGAACGATATATTCCAACATACCCTAAAAAAGAATCATTTAACAGGTAATAGAAAGAGAAAGGGTACCAGAAAAATATCAGAAACAATTTGTATAAATAATTAAAAGTTTCAATAAAACTTATCATGCAAATCATAACATACCTTATAATCTTTCAAAAAGAAGCATGTACTGGCTGAACGAAGATTAGCAGATAAACTACCCCCTTCTGATAATCTAGCCAATACTTCATGATGTAAACTTTTATACATTGCTAAATCTGTTAAGAAGAGATTCAGCCAGTTATCTAACCGCAATTGTTGATTCAGTTTGGTTATCTCTCTTTGAAGATAATCACTGCTGTGCAATAAATCCCATAACTTTACTGCCAATGCTAGACCATTGCCATTATAATCACTATCGCTAGTGATTATTATTCCAGCATTATCATCCCGCTTTCGCTTCTTTATTTTGGATTCTAGCTTATGGAAAATTTAAGGTGTATAAATATAAAAATATAATTATATCCAAATATTATGAACATAGTATCTTTCACCTGCAGAGGAATATATTCCTTCCCCAAAAGCTTCTACGAGGCAATACATTGTTTCTTCACTATTCATAAGAGTGTTATGCTCATTCAATATTCTTAATAATACTACAATTGTACACATTAATAATTGTCTGACAATCGGCTCATCGCACAAACCAGTGCTGTGTACAATTGCGTACTGCTGCAGTCTATCGCTGTATGCTTCTCGACTCCAAGGTGTAGCAAATAAACCACTCAGTTCCCATCCTAATTTCTTGCCTATTAACTCCACGATTTGAAAGAGTCTGTCCCATGGATTTTGAATTTGTGTATCTTGTGGCTGTTGTATGTACGCTAAATAAAATTCCACAGCCTTACATAGCAATCGTAAACTAAGACGTGGATTCAATTCTACTACAGCACCACCAAGCAGTGGCAATGCTTCACATGCCAATAATCTTCTGAAACCATTCACGGCTCGACCTGGATGACTATGCTTCTCTGCTGTTAAGAGAGTTTCCACCAAACGTGTCTAAAGCAATAATGTTAATAAATATCTTTTAAAATTAAAATATCTGTTTAAGTTTAAAAATACATACTCCATGAGTTGCAATAGTTTGAGGAAACTTGCGCAATAATAATAGCAATAATTTACAATGTTCCATTGTATCTTCGCTATGATCTGCTGTCATTACGAGCAATCTATGTTGTAGATCCTGTGGAATATGTTGGAACATTCGGCATAAAAATTCTGCCTCGCTATCGCATTGTTCTAAACGAAGACACGTTGTTACTGTTTCTATCTCTTTCCATATGTCACGATCATCCGGAAAATTTTGAAATCTACATTTAAAAAATAAATTATATAAAAACAAATTATATAAAAACAAAGTATAAATAACAAATTTCAAGAGTAATCAATACTTACATTTCACTGAAACATTTTGCAGCTTCTTTTACATTTTTTGACAATTTCTCAATACGATATGCCTCAAACTGAAAACAAAACAAAACATTGAGCATTATTATCCATATAATCAGAAAAAAAATTTAATTCAATTATTGAAAATTATGAAATAAAATAATTTCTAAAAATAATATCTGATATTACTTCACTCGTGTGAAATGAAGAAGAAAAGTTATACAGTGAATATATAAAATATAAAAAAAAAAGAGGACAAAAATCAAGTGTAGTAATAAGCCGGTACTAACCTGAACTTTTGCACTATGTGGAAATAAAGATTTGCAGTGATCAACCATGATTTAGCGGCATAAATGTCGACTGGTAATGCCTTCTTAGCTCTCATTATCAAATAATCTTCTTTGGATAACTGATTATCCGTACTGGACGGTTTTTCCAACATAATGTAATATCACGTATAATAACTCCAATATGCATATACAGCTGCACGCAGCTCCGTACTTTTGCATCCCTGCCTGTATTATGGCTCGTGATATTTATAATTATATTATGACATTCGTAGATGGCAGTAAATGATTTATCAGCACACTTAGTTATCAGCAAACGTTTAATTACATGCTGAATTAATATCTACTGCCGTTTATTCTTTATTAAAATACGCAACTTTAAAAAAAATGTTTAGTGTTTTTATTAAAAAATCATTTATCTTATGGATAATGATGAAATTCAAGATTACGCTGTATTCACAATCGTTTATTCTATAACCAACTTATGTATCTTTTTCCTTGAAAAAGTTTTCTGGGTACTACTGTCGTCTCGGCAGGTACACGTTATTTCCATAGCCGGAAAAGTAGTATTCTGGGATATCGCCATTGCATAACGATTATCTAATCTTTTTTTCTACAATATAAAAAAATAATTGTTCATCAATTTCAGTAAGAATATTTAGATTTCCATAATATTAAATATTATAATTTTGAAAATTTATAAAAATTAAACATTATAAGAAACAATAAAATAATAAAAAAGTATAAAAATAATACATATTAATCAAAACATGATGAAAAAGATATATAAAAATTAAAATATTAAAAATAAATACATATAAACTAAACCAAAAAGTTATACAGACAATAGAGATTACAAAGAAAATGATTTAGAAAATGATTTATTGAATTTATTTAATTAAATTGAATAAAATAGGCTTTCGAGATCTTGCCCAACGTATCGCGAATCTCTGTTGTCTGTAAAATATTAAAGATGCAGTTTTACAGCATTTAAATATTCTTTCAGCTGTCAACTCAATACACCTCTCAATTTTCCATTGCGCGCGTCAATTAATTTCGACGTATCGCGTAGTAAAGCGTCAATTATCGACGTCATTAATCGCCAGGCGATCCGCGTCAATCTGGCGGCTCGTAAACCAACGACGATTCTTCTTGAGATTTTCCGCTCGGGACGACGGCGACCGGCAACAAAGGCGTAATTTTGCAAATCCCTTGAGCGATATGGAACGTCCGCGCTTGCACGCGTGGTCCTCCGAGTAGTTCCATTTATAAAGATATAACAACGGCCAAATCCTCTTACCCCGTGATTCCGCCGTGAGCTACCCACATGGAGGAGGGAGAGGGGGAGGGGAGGGGGGGGGGAGGCGGAAAAAGGCTCTCTTAAGTGGTTATGGCGCTTTGGCTTTGTATCCGACGGCTTTCCGACGGCTCGACTTAAGTACCGGAAATAAAGCTCTATCGACTATGGCTCCGACGCTCGATTTATGCGCAAGAATGGAACTGCAATCGAGCTCTCCTCCGTTGAGCTGAGAGGACCACGACGATCCATCATCGGTCGAACCTTTTTGGAGCAATATAATCACGCTGCACTCGATGTAAAAATTTTTGGTAGAAATAGCCTTTCAAACGGAACATAAAATGGTATTTTGAAAGGTGGTCCTTTTACGATACACTCGGGGCAAAAATATATTTCTATAATGTAGCGACTCTGAAATTTGAATCTGAGCACCCATACTATTTTTATAAAATCACGAAAATGAAAGAATTATATGTGGTGATTTTATGAAAGAGTATTATTGAAAGTATAGTCACAGTAATATGATATAATTTAATTTATTAATTGCGGCAACAAAATAAAAATTGTTAATATGGCGATATAGATTGGATATTAGATTAATACTATTATTTTTTTGTAAATATAATTATGTTGACATTTTCTTCTGTAATATACTTATAACTATAAATATAAATTAAATAAGAAATTATACATTTCACAAAACGATGTTAAAAAATAAAAAATATATTATAATATATGCTATTATACAATTATATTATTATTATATAAATTAGATAAAAAATAATAAATTTAACAAGGCAACATTATAATAATTTTCATACAAACTTTTTTCAAAAATGAAGAAGTTAAACTTTCTCAAAATAACTTAAATAGCATAAAGAATATTCAAAATTTGGAAACATAGAAATGGAAAAAAACACAATTGTAACTTTTGTGTGGTAACCATCTTGTTTTCTTTTTTCTCATAATTCCGTTATATGTAGGAAAGAAACGTTTGAATACGACGCTAGTTTTGAATCTACGTAGGGGTGGCGATGTGCGTTTCGTCTGCAACTAAATTTTGTGTATATGAGACGGTCGGGGTTGCACAGCCGGTGGCTGCGTTAGTTATCCTCTGTCTCGGAGAGCCTCTGTCTTTCCCCCTCGTTCTCGGTGGTTCACAATGGCATTAAAATTACCGAGAAAATTCAATTCCCAGCTGAATATATATCGTATTCGCGCGTAGCTCGCGCTCGCGTATTTGGTCATACGAGGCGAGGAAAAGCACCGAAAAATCATAGCAAATGGATGGCAATGTCAATTTGAAAAGTTGAATGCGCCAGATAAGATAAAGATAAATGCACACTGTGCGACATGATGCGAAAATTGAAAAATATTTTGTTATGTTTTCAGCAAATGGAGGGATACATATTGGATTTAGCGCGAATGAGAGCGAAATGAAAATTTTAAAATCGGAGCTCGTTATGAATCGCACTCTCGTCTCTAACGAGTGAAAACGTCCATAAGAATA